TGTGTGTGTGTGTGTGTGTGGTATCAACCTCTCTCTGCAGCAGAACAGTGAAAGCGAACTCTCCCCCGGTCTCTCTGTGGCCCTGCTCCTCCCCTCTGGAACGGGATCCACCAAATCGCAGCTAATTGAATAAGTGACAATGAGCGGGCAGACGAGGCGACAGATGCTCGCGTGCCTTTACAACCAAACCACCAGCGGCATCACAGCACACGGTGCACGCGCGCTCATACGCATAACGCACGCACGCACACATACCTCCTGACTCCGATCTGAACCGGTCCAGGGGCGCATTTTCTACAACCGCACCTGCTGTGCCTATTGACTTACTGTGTGTATGCTTGTGTATTTGGATGGTGGGGGGGTGTCCCTGCAAAGATTGTCATGAATGTCAGCGACAGACGTTTAATTCACACTTATCATTTTATGGCTACAAGGCCCGGACGCATGCACGGAGCCTAATTGTTGCGCACTGCGTGATGAAGGGAGCAGAGAGGGAGTCACTGTCATGGCACTGGAGCCAGTGACTTTAAAACTATATCTGTGTGGTCTTTATCTCCCATGGATCAATAGAGAAAATATCTATGGAGCTGGAAGCAGAAAAATGGTTAAACAATAAACTAAATCCAGGGGACGCGGCATCTTTGCACCTGCTGCTGCAGCCGACCAATAGTTTGCGCTAAATCATTTGTCTTCTTAAGCATTAAAAAGCTCATGTTTGTTCGGCTGCTCTGGTTATGTAGCGTGCCTAAATGTATTAACCCTCCATCTGCTTTTTTTTACCTAGATTATACCCCCTCTATACATTAATTGTTTTATTCTGCGCACTGTTTAAGACCCACAGCGCACCCCCTCCAACTCTGTCTCTTTCTTCTGCTCCCTTCTTCCATAAACTCCGGAGCTGACTTTGTTCTCCAAATGTGATTAGCTTCTCTGGGACGCAGGGGAGTAATTGCATTACTGCATTGTGAGCGTCTGGAACTATGGAAATGCTGCGCGCCCGTATCAAACCTGTTTAAATACCACTATGGTGAAAAGATGTGCAAAAGAGGGGTGAATGCAAACATTTTGCATACATGGCTCAGGCTGATGAATAGATGCTGGGAGCGGGAATAAAGGTTTTCCGCCAATTTTGCGTCCTCAGGTTCAAAAGGGAGAGCTTCTGCACAGTGTCCATGCACGTTTCTTTTGGAATAATTTAACAAACTATTGTTTCCAGGCAAAATGCGCTTTGGAGCCTGCATGTGCAGATGCGTTGCGTTTAAGGATCAGCCCACACTGAATAACCAGGTTCAAATGGATAAATCAATGGGTTTATATAATATTTCTCACCCAGACCGTCCACAGCAGCTGGTGGTAAATTATTCATTCGTTTTGCAGATTCTCTATCTGAGCATTTCTTAAGGTTATGGTCTTCAGGAATGATGGTGGACGTGTTGACTTGGAGCTTTCTGCGAGGGTGAGCGGGCCGGTTATTAAACCAGGGAAGTTTCTTTTAGGTTTGTGAGTTGTGTTCTTGGAGTTCTGCTCCAGATGGTCACCTTTAGCGCGGTCTCATCTTCAGCCCCTGCTATAATATTTGATTTGAATATGTATGAGGGTTTTGGGAACCTGTTACTGCGATAACTGCGAGTTCCTATTATCTATAACGCACGCACGCGCGGACAGAGCGCCGTGCACCCGCGCGCAAAACGTGTGAATGGATGTGGAAAAGCTGCTTGGTGCTCTGCAATCCCCCATGACAACTCATTTCCTCGCAGTTGTGTGGGGGGCTCGGGTCTCCGCAGGAGTCTTGTTTGGTCGGCTGTAATCGCCAGGTCCTGGTTGCCAAACAAACCGCGCCAGATGGTCTGCGAAACGCACGGTCCCAGTTGTGCGTATTCGTTAAACCTCAGACCTCTCTCTCTTTCCCCCCTCCTCTCTTTCTACGTTTCTATATTTCTCTCTCTTTCTCCATCTCTGCCCTCGCCTGTGTTTGCGCACGGGAGACTCTTTCTGGGAGAGGGTGCACTGATATAAATGCCCGAACTGGTGAATTTTGGACTCGTTATCAAAACAACATCCTGCGGGGAGATTGAAGTGATGTTCAACAGATTTGTGCACGCGGGAACGGAGCTGTTCCTCGGCGTGACCAGCTCTTTAAAGGCATTCATTAGAGTCCAGCTCCCTTTCAACGCGATTCGCCACAGAGCTTACCCAGCTTATACTCTCACCCATAGACTGCAGCAGATGAGACGCATGTGAAAAATAAATATATAAATATATAGTTCACCCAAAACATCTAATACAAAGCGCCTGTGCCTGGAGAAGGGGGAGATGGGGGGTGATCAGCTGCCACTTAAAAGAGCAGAAATAAGACCAGATACAGTATAAGCCCATGGCATCCATATACGCACCAGTGCCAAGGCATGCAATAAGTCAGTCAGTCAGTCAGTAGGAGTGAGTTGTGACAGCTGCTCCTGGCTGGGTTGAGCTGTATGTTTTATAATAAAAAGGCTGCGCTTTTGAAGTGATGGTGGTTGGGGCGACTTTATCTTTTTCTTTTCTAATGAGAATTTAGTCTCTTAATTTTTACGTCTCCATGCTGTCTGGGGAGAACAGACGAGAAGCGAGAAAGTCGTAAACCGTCCATGGGTTTATAGCAATGAAAAACGTCAGGGAAAGTCCTTTGAATGAATGTTGTCTCCTCTAGTTTATTTTCTCCCATTGTAGCAGGATGGTCGTTAGGAGTGGGGAAAGTGAACCCCACTGGATTGTTCTTACCCCCCACTTTATATTTGTCCTCCCTCCTCTTGCGCCTCCTTCTCTCCTCTGGAGTTTGAGTGGGCAGCAGCTTTTGATTGAAGAAAGCGTTTGTCTTTCCCGGGATGTGAAAGGGAGGGGGGGCCGTGGCTCATGTACAACTAGTTGGTTTGGGGCGGGTTATTTTGGGCAAGTCTGTGTGCGGAGGCACCTCAAACGGAGAGAGGGAGCGTACGAAAGCGCACGGCGCACAGACCAGACGCAGGCAGGAGAGGGAGAAAGGCGCACAGATTCGGTGGCACTCAGCTGCTTCTCCCTCACGCTAGATAGACACAATCTGAATGACAAGGAAGGGAAGATAGAAACAAGTGTGGATGCTTATATGGAAAATAGTGCAACTTGTACTGGCTTAGATTGAACAATCTGAATGTTTTGTTTTTCCTCAACGCTCCGCGGAGAAAGCAATGCAGCTGCTGATTGAGGGAGGAGAGCAATTACTAAGTTAAAACTGGAATTTCCTGCGCTCTGCATTTTTGAGCTGTTTTCTCTCTGGATCTGCCTTTGGCTTGCACAGAAATGCAACCAGTGAAGATGAAGGGACTCTTTCTGTCAAGAATGTGGAAAGTTGTGGTTGTTTTGGCACTGGCAACGCAACACGCCACCGGTAAGACACTGAAATATCAGATTTATGAGGAGCAGAAGGTTGGCACGGTCATCGCCCGTTTAAGGGATGATGTCGCGGATGTTCTGGCGAAACTTCCCAGCTCGGTGTCGCTCCGCTTCAGAGCGATGCAAAGAGGGAGCTCGTCTTTCCTCGCGGTGCGCGAGCAGGACGGAGAAATCACCATCAAGACCAAGATCGACCGCGAGAAACTCTGCGAGAAGAACCTCAACTGTTCCGTCCAATTCGACGTGCTGACGCTGCCCACCGAGCACCTGCAGCTGTTCCACGTCGAGTTGGAAGTGTTGGACATCAACGACAACGCACCCCAATTCGCCCGCGCCGTTATTCCCATTGAGATCTCCGAGAGCGCGTCCGTGGGAGCGCGCATTCCCCTGGACAGCGCCACGGACCCCGACGTTGGGGAGAACTCGCTGTACACGTACGCGTTAGAGCCCAACAACTTCTTCAAGGTGGACATCCAGTCCAGAACCGACGGGGCCAAGTACGCGGAGCTGGTGGTGCTCAGGGAGCTGGACCGGGAGGTGCGCTCCAGTTACGAACTTCAATACACGGCCTCTGACAGGGGCGTTCCCTCCAGGACGGGTACGACCCTTCTCAAAATTAATGTCGCCGACTCAAATGACAACAGCCCCATTTTTGACAAGTCCTCATATGTCATAAATCTTCCAGAAAATTCACCTGTTGGCACTCTGCTCATTGACTTAAACGCCACTGACGCGGATGAGGGCACAAACGCCAAGATAGTCTACTCCTTCAGTAGTCACGTGTCCCCAAAGATAATGGAGACGTTCAAAATCAATCCAGACAGTGGTCACCTGACCCTCGTCAGGCGTGTGGACTATGAGACCATGAGCTCCTATGACATTGATGTGCAAGCACAGGACATGGGTCCAAACTCAATGCCCGCTCATTGCAAGATCCTGGTCAAAGTGGTAGATGTGAACGACAACAAGCCAGACATCAGCATCAACCTCATGTCCTCTCAGGGGAATGGGGATGCCGCGTACATATCTGAGGCTTCTGCTCTGGATACGTTTGTAGCTTTGGTGAGGGTGGAGGACATGGACTCTGGGTTGAATGGAGAGGTGGAGTGTAAACTTCATGGTCAGGGCTACTTCAAATTGCAGAAGACTTATGAGAATAATTACATGATTCTGACCAATGTGTCTCTGGACAGAGAGAAGAGGTCAGAGTTCAGTCTGACGGTGGTGGCAGAAGATCGGGGGACTCCCAGTCTCTCTACTGTCAAACATTTCACTGTGCATGTGACTGATGAGAATGACAATGCGCCACGTTTTGAGAAGGGCCGATATGAGATCTTTAAATCTGAGAACAATGCCCCAGGAGCATATCTCACCTCTATCATGGCCACCGACCCTGACCTGGATACCAATGGACAGGTGAGCTATTCCATCTTGGAGAACTCTGTTCATGGGAGTTCAATCTCAACCTACGTCACCATTGACCCCTCTAATGGCGCCATCTATGCACTGCGTACATTTGATCGTGAGGACGTCAGCCGTATCTCCTTCGTGGTGCAAGCCAAAGATGCAGGAAAACCATCACTGCTGAGTAACGCTACTGTCATTCTGAACATCCTGGATGAGAACGACAACCCTCCAGTCATCGTGGTGCCCCAGCTGTGGAACTTCACTGCTGATGTGCTCGCATCAAAGTTCACAGAGGCTGGACACCTAGTAACAGTGGTTAGGGCGACTGATCGGGATACAGGGGTCAACGCTGAGCTCATCTGCTCCATAGTCAGCGGCAACGAGGAGGGTTTCTTTCTCATCGACCCAAGAACTTGTGAAATCCATGCCAATGCCAGCCTGGAGAACTTCCCCCAGGAGAATGCTGAGCTGACAATTGTGGTTCGAGATCAGGGAAGCGAGAGCCTCAGCGCTAAGGCCGTTCTGAAAATCACCCTCTATGAGAACATGGAGAACCACGTCCAGGTGATGGACCAGGGGGGGTCTTCACTCGACTCATCCTTAATAATCATCATCTCCCTTGGGGCCATCTGCGCTGTGCTCCTCGTCATCATGGTGGTGTTTGCTGCTCGCTGTAACCGTGAGAAGAAGGACAACAGGAACTCCTACAACTGCCGGGTCGCTGAGTCAACCCACCAGCACCATCCTAAGAAGCCTGCACGCCAAATCCACAAAGGCGATATCACCCTGGTTCCCACAGTGAATGGGACCCTGCCAATCAGAGCCCACCACCGCTCACCTTCGGCCACACCCCCCATGGACCGCGCCCAGATGGGGAGCAGACAGAACCATCACAGCCGCCAATCCCTGAACAGCTTGGTGACCATCTCATCCAATCACATTCCAGAGAGCTTTGCCCTGGAACTGACACACGCGACTCCACCAGTGGAGGTGAGCACACACAAGCACTGTCTTTGACACAGACACACACAGACACACACTCAGAAGTCAATTACTCTCAGAAATTTAAAATGCAGTCTCTCAGCCCCATTCCAAATTTTCTGTCTCTCTTCTTTCCCTCAGTTTCTCTCTTTCTCATTCACACACACACACACACACACACA